ACATACATACATATCTATGTATATATATATATACATACATATATATATAAGAGGAATGGCGTCGATGGCGAGCTCGAGTTGCTCCGCTAGGGTTTCACCCAATGACGATTCCCTGGCTTGATCTTTCCGCTTTACCATTGTGCTCGAAGACGAAGCTCTTGCACTCGACGACGAATTCTGGGTTCTTCAATCTCTCCTGCGATCGTCGTCACGTCTCGCTGCTTCTGTGGACGTCGAGCTGCGAGCCGCGTCGAGCCGCGATCGTCTTTTCGTCTGCGTGGTCGTCCCGACCTTTCGGTCCTCGTGGTCGTCTCGTCTGCGCGTTCGGCCTGACATTTCAGCTCGTCTTCGTCGTCTCGTCTGCGTGGTTCTCCTCTCGCTCTTGTTTGATCGAGTTGTGACTGTTCTGCGGCTTCAACAACTACAGTTTTTCGCCCCGGCCTTTCGGCCTGCTATTTTTGCCGCTGCCCCACTTTGGCAGGGCTTCTCTTGCTGTGATGGAGCTTCCTTTGTCTACGTTTGAACCTGACAAAGTATCATTTGTCCACGTGGTGGGTAATTCTCAGAGGGAGACAGCGGTTGTCTTCCCCTCACGGTTTTAGGATCCCCTCAAGTTTTAAGGAGCAACGAGAAGGTGATCGCCCTTTTATCAAGATTGCAAGCAAGAAAAGTGGGAAAGCTGCCTTTTTTTTTCTCTGAGCTAGAAATTTCATCCCTTACTGATAAATTCAAGTTTGCTCTTATTGGGAAATTTTTGTGGGGACACCCACCATGGAGGTTATCAGGAAAAGTTTTGTTGTTCTCAAATTAGTAGGAAAGTGGAAAGTAGGTCTCATAGATGGGAGACACGTATTAATTCAACTTCCCATGCCTAAAGACTACACTGAGATTTTTTCCAAAAAAATTCTCAATATTACTGGTAAACCAATGAAACTCAAGTGGTCTCCTGATTTTGACCCCAAGCGCGAATCTCCTACTATACTAGTATGGTTTAGTCTACCTAATCCAAGCTACACTTTTTTCATCATCAGGTTCTTTACTCTATTGGCGTCATACTTGGAGACCCTGTGAAGCTAGATCTACCCGGTTTTAACCTAACCAGACCTTCTCTGGTCTGAATACTTGTTGAAAGAGATATTACTTTACCTGATGTTACTGAAGTCTGGTTGGGCACAACTCACAATGGATATTGACAACAAATTGTTATGGAGCATAGACCTCCATGTTGTTCTTATTGTATGATGTTTGGGTATAACCTTGATAAATGTTATAAGCTTCACCCTAATTTGAAATCTAAAGATCAAGTGAATAAGAATGGATCTGACCCTATTGCTTTGGAAATATCTGTTCCATCTGAAGAGAAAACTACCACAAAACAGGTTATGATATCTGATTTAATTGTCATTGTGGATCCTCCCCCTGAAAATACTATTTCTGCGATCGATGAGAAGCTGGATGGCCATGCTGAGCAACCTACACTTTCAAACCCTCCTTAGTTGGAGAAAGCATTAGGCGAAGAGGAAACATTTCATGCTTCACACACACTTAAACATACAATTGTTGCAACAGTTGACAATCCTTCTTCTGGTGCTCATCAGCTTTTATCTGCCCGGCGTTCTGTTTACCAACACGATGATCAGATGAGCCAGTCTTCTGAGAAGGAATGCAGGTCTATTCAAGGAGGAAGAAGAAGATTGGAGGCAAACTTCAGCTTGGGAACCTAATGGATGATACTTTGGTTACTTCGGGAAATGACTCGGCACTCAATGATTTGTTATCTGGATCTCGCCCTAGAACTAGAGGCAGAGCAGAACTAAACTGGCTTGTCCCTAGCTACTTCTTTTATGCGATTTTGGTATCTTTCCTTTTTTTGGGTTTCTCTGTATCTTTTTTCTTTTGGGGTGTTTGTGTGTGTTGTATTGTATGGGTATGGTGCCTTTATTGGGCCCTTTCATACAACAGTTATGTATCTTTCCTATTTTAATAGATTTAGCCCTTAGGCTTTTCAAAAAATAAGTTACAACATTTAATTTATATATGTATGTATGTATGTATATATTAATTCTATATTAAACTTAATAATAAGTTACCACATTTAATTTATGATCATTATAAAATTTTAAAAATTTACATGCTACCACTCGATTAATTTCTATTTACGTATCTAACACCTAAACGTTAATTTTTACAAACATACCAATAAGATAAATTTCAGTTTTTAAAAATTTAAAAAGTGAAACTTTTGATGTGATTTGATGATATCAATGTAAAAAACAAAGAATATGTGCTAGTGTATAAGTGCCTGAGAGATGGGTGGCAATTATGTAAATCCCTCTAATTTTTTTAAATTATTACAGTGTGATTTTTATATTTATATTTAAAATTTTTTAAATTAAGTATTATTAACTTTTAAAGTAACATGCTAAAATTTTTATGATGTTAGTTATTTAAATATTGAGATTTATTTAATTTTTCATAATCAATTTTTTTAATTACATCATTTTTTTCATATTTAAAAAATTTTATAATTTAGTATATCATCCCATTGAACTTCGTTTGCGAGAAAAAAAAAAATTCGAGCGAGAGAGAGACTCCACTGAGGAGTGAGGAGAGAGAGAGGCTCTGCCGAGGTACAAGTAGAGTTTGGTATGAAGTGCGAGAGGAGCGAACAGTTTTCTCTTCGGTAGAAATGGCGACGGACCGTGAAAAGGAGAGAGAGGCAGAGCTGGAGAGTGCTATGTACACGAATTGCCTGCTACTCGGCCTGGATCCGGCTATCATTGGCGTGGGCGGGGCAGGAGGGAGTCCCAGGGTCGGCCATTTCCGGCATTCCAACCCTAGATTGGGGGAAAAGCTTCTATACTTTCTTCTCTCGTCCTTAAGAGGGCCCGTCCAATCTGCCAAGGCAAGAATTTCGCTCACCCGGATCGCTATTCCTTTACTTTTTCTTCCATTTGGCTTGGATCTGAGATTCCTCACCGTTTTGGTATTTGGGCATGTGCTAGGATTTCGATAAGGTGTGGCCCATTTACGATTCTGCTCAGTCCCGAGATTTTCGTAAGGTATATATAGTCTGTTTTTTTCAATTAATGATCGTTAGGGTTTACGGGTACCCAGTTCTTTAAGTGCTGTTTGATTTTTGCTGTGTACTTATGCTTCTGGAAAGATTGTGCAAGGTATAATAAGTGAGCTGGAGTCACAAGGGGCACTGCCAAGAAGCAACGCTAGGGTATCATCGCTCGCGACTTGTTGTGGGCCGAGGTCACTATTCTGCTTCTCCTTTGTTCATTAATAGCAATATGGCGTCTTTTTTATGATCCTTGAAGGAATTTTGAAAGCTCGTTTTTGAGTGAAGCATGTAATCTCTAGTATTACAGAACGAACGGTATGTGATCGCTAGGCAGTGGGTGATATATTTGAGGATGCAATGTTATGAACTCTTGTCAAGATGAAGCACAAGCTAGAGTTTAGGCGATTTATCCTTTTTGACGAACTTACTGTGCTTAATGCAATTATTATCTTAAGCATGCTTTCTTTTATGACACGCACCTTCAAATTCACCATTTGTGTAGTGTGCCTGGTGTTGGAAAAGAGTTAGTAAGTATAATGTCCTCTTTGATGTTAGTGAGTTCATTTTTGAACTATCTTTTATTTATGGGATCTCAAGGTCTCAATAGATGCTTTGATTGAAGGATATTTTTAGTTCTTCTGTAGGTAGGATTTTTACTTCCCATAGCTTTTATCCAATGGATGGGTCCTTATGTTGTCTTATGACTACATTTACCTGTGGTTAATTAATACTCTGTAATTTGAGATAATTCTGAATTGACGATGTTGTTAAGCTTTAATTGTTGAACAAAAAGAGAAAATAACGTAGCTGCATATGTTTACTATCATAACATATATGAGTTTCCATTATCCTCATTCCTATGTTCTGCTTCATTCTTTGATGAGGGGAGGGAGGAAATGATGCTAAACCCTATAAGCATCCAATGTTTTTGTTGACCAGATATCTATATTGTAAATATCTTTTAAAGTGGATATGGGAGCCTTAACTTTGATTGATTCTTTTTTCATTAAGAGCCATGTGCTTTCTTGTTTGAAGCAATACCTTATGGATCTGGAGTGATAAGTCATTCTGGTTTTAGAGCTTGGTTTATATAGGATATCATTAAATTGCTTGAACATGCCAATAATTTTTTAGTATTGGTAAATAGAATCAAAGCTACAGAGTATGGTTGTTTAGCTTTTTTCATGACATGAACAATAACTTATGCTGCTAAAAGCATGACCAATTTGTTTAATTGATTTTAGATGTTGTGAAAAGGATTTGCACAAATTTAACTGGACAAAACACAGAACACTGAAGATGAATGCTTTTTATGTGAGGATTCACAAATGCAAAGCTCAAATACTTGGAATAAAGATGATATTGATTGGGTTTTATTATGATGTTGATTTTTTTTATGACTGCAATTACCTTTGTTTGATTAATTCTCCGATAGAGGAAAAAATTTTATAAGTAATATGTTAGGCTTAAATTGTTACACAAAAAGTTAAATGAAGGTGTTTGTAGTGTTGCATAGCTTTACTATCATTACATAGATGAGTTTCCGTCAGCCTCATTCCTATTCTTTGATTTGTGCTTTGATAAGTGGGGAGGGATTGAGGGAGTGGATAATGTTTAAGGTTCCCATGCTTTTGCTGTTCTGAGATTTATCCTTTGGGCATTCTTCAAAATGATCAAGAAGCCTTGTGACCATTTTATTTCTTATCAATAGTCACGTGTTTCTTCGTTCAAAGCAATGCCTACTGTATTGGGGGTGGTAAACATGCTAAGGGGCTTATTTTGGTGGTAGAGGTTGGTTGACGTAGGACATTATTAGATAGTTTGAGCTTATTGTGGAAAATTGAATCCAAGATACAAAACATGGTTGTTCAGCCTTTGTCATGGCATAGCCTACAATACCTTATATAGATAAAAACGTACAACATATATTTCAGTTGTTCCTTCCATTTTTGTATTTGATGTTTCTTTGTAATTCTCTTAGAATCATGTCTAGATTTTAATTTCTAACTTATCCTTTTAGTGCTATATTTTTTCCTTTATATTATATTTTCTTTAGATCTCATTTCAATTGTACCAAAAGTTATTTTCATCTACTACGCAGCATTCTTTTTAATTTGTCTTCTGTCCTAAATTTTGTGTATTCTCATTCCTGATATCTTTCTTAGGATGTTGATCATGTAAGCTCTCATTTTATGTTTGCTGCAAACCAGATTTGTTGAGCTCTTATGGCAACTTTCTGTGCATGCATTGAGGGAGGTTCATAGTCGCACATTTGCTGCTGATGTAGCTTCTAATCCACTTCCTGCTTCACTAACGGATGCATCTTATCTTCATGCTGCAGCTTTACTTCCTGTAACCAAGGTATTCAAAACATTAACATCCAGTATTTGTTGCTTCCTGATCCATTTTATGACATGACTCGAGCTTTGTGAATTGATTTTAAATATTTTGCTCCCCCTTCAATAGATTTTTTTGATGCTAGATATAAAAAATGCTTCAGGATCTTGATTTTATTTTGCTTTTCCATATCCTAAGCATGAAATATCTGTGTTATTTTTCTCCCTTCTTTCATTTTTATTGTATCAAAATTTTAATTTACCTTTTATTCTTATATTTAAAAATTAATCTGCATCTTTTATTTATTACAGGCAAGGATTGCACTTGAGAGAAGAAAGTTCCTAAAAAATGCAAGTATTGCTGTACATAGGCAAGCTGCTTGGTCCAACTTAGCTAATGAAATGACTGCAGAATTTCGTGCTCTTTGTGCTGAAGAGGTACTAAACTTTTCTTTTTACTTCAAATTTTTATGTTATTTTTTATCTTCAAAATACATCTTTCAAAGTATATCATTATCAATCTTATCCCAATCATTTAGAGTGCTAATTATATGGTATGCTACATAAAGTGTTGACTATATGTATGTATAATCTATGTTGGCATGAGGTTCATGGGGGCTGAAACGCCGTGAGTGTTGAACGCTATCTACTAGTATATATATTTCATGTTCTCTATTTAGGGTTTCGGTATTCATAATTTCAGATTTCTTGCCATCGGCGTTTCTCCCTAGCTAGAGCTATATCCGAGGACAGGTGGTGCTATGACTATATCCTCCTCCAAGGTGGTGATTATCTACCCACAAACCTACCACTAAACCATCCCTTAATCTTGTCGCAGTCACTACCTACGCCTATACCCCCGCCTGCTGCAACCATCCTTATACCTTCAAACCCGTAGCGACAAACCTTCTGGCCCCTTCCCTGCTTCCTCCAAACCTGATCTTACCCATTCTCTACTAACCACAAACCCCCTTTACTTCCTTCCATCTAGCTGTAATCCATCCCACCTCACCATTTGCTGTCGTTAACCCTTCCCACGGCCCAACCTGTTGCCGCAATCTCTGCCTACCTTTCACTTGTTGTCTCCACCCTTCCCGTTGTTGTCGTCATCCTTTGCCTACCTTCCACCTGTTATCTCCACCCTTTATGCTGTTGTCGTTATTCTCTGCATACCTTCCACATGTTGTCTCCACCCTTCCCAAGCCTCTCGGTTGAACCCACAACCCCCAACCTGCACCCACCTACTGTCTAGCCGCCACCCATCACCTTTGTCCTTCCCCTATGGTGTTTGAGTGTGCTGTTGTCAATGTTATTTCTGTTATGAGAACCCCATTATTGTAGTTTCCCGTATTTTTTGCAATCATATTTGCAGTTTATTGTGTTTTGGGCTATCTTCAATATCAATTGGTATCAGACCTAGCTTAATCTTAGTTCTATCCTAGGTTTTTTAGCACCCTTTTTTACCCAAACCACCCTCCCCATAAAAAAATTTTCTCTACCACCTCTTCTAATCCCCAAACCCTAATCATGTCACCATGAAGATACATGTCGGAACCTACTCAGAACGAGATACAACGAATGATTTGTCATCTTCAACAGAGGATTTTTGAGATTGATGATGGAACTCAGGGGGAAATTACTCTCGATCATGATCTGGGAAGTCGAAGAGGAGAATGGGATGAGGATCTGAATCTATTCCATAGGGAAGACGTGAGTGATGAGGAAGATAGGCCCTAGTGCTTTGGAATTCAATATCAAAGGAGCCGAGAGATGTTGCTACATATGGAGGACTGAGATTTTGGTATCAAAGTAAATCCAACGGAGTTCGTTGGAGGTATGGATCCCGACGATTTCATCGAATGGCTACAATCAGTTGAGAGGGTCTTTGAGTACAAGGAGTGTCAAGAGATAAGCTTACAACCATTAAATTGAAGAGCACTTCTTTGCGATGGGAAAATTTACAGACAAAGAAAGAGAGAAGGTTATTTAATGGGAGAAAATGAGGAAGGAGATGCAGAGATGATACCTACGGCCTCATTACCGTCAGGATATGTTTTTGGGACTTCACCTCCTATAGTACAGAGACCTAGCGATAGAGGAGTTTACCACATAGTTTGATTGGTTACAGATAAAGTGTGGGTTGGTTGAGCCTAAAAAACATACCATTGCTTGAAGCCCGCTACTAGCAACGTCGTATAACTCTTGTTTTATTACTCATTGGGAGATGTCCAAACTTTGGTTTTGAAGGTGGAAAGACAATAGAAACAGATCAGACAATAACCCTCATTCAGATAACAATCCTCATTTAGGCAATCACCTATAGCTATAATTACCGACAAGAGTACCTCTGGAGGAGTTGGAAATACAGGACAGGGAAGTGATAAGATAGATCTGTGTGGGAAAATTCTAGAAAAGGGTAGCTTGCCCAGTACAATGCCTACCAAGAGATGCTCCAGATGCCACGACTACGACCAGATAGCCTATAGCAGTTTCACGAGTCGAGTTGCTTTATTCACGGAGCAAGGAGTTGCCGAGGAAGTGGAGGAAGAGGAAGCAGAGGTGAATATAAAGTAGAAACTTCACAGGGGGATAGGAGTATAAACGAGTCAAGTTGAGCACGAGCCACCCTCAGTTTGAGTTTGAGCTTGATTAATTTTATCGAGTTTTTCATTTTCCCCTACTAACCACAGCAACCGTCCCAGATTTCTTATTGAATATATTAGTTATCCTGGACTTCTCGGCCTTCTCATGAGAATCTATATGCTTGACTTCTGTTTGTGCTCAAGTTTAAGTCTAGGAGTTCGAGCTGACTTCTTTATTTTTAAAGAGAGAAAATAATATAAATTTAAGGGATTGTTATAATAAATGACAAATTGAATGAGCAATTAAGAGAGGAATTATAGGAAATCACTAAATATAAAATATAAAATATAAAATTTTATTTTTGTTAAATATTTTTAATACTTTAAAGATAAAGTCTTCAACTTTAATATATTTTTAGTATATTTTATATTAATATTTTCATAAACGAGTTGACTTACGAGCTAACTAATCGAGTTGGGGCTAGCTTGAGCTTGGCTTGTTAGCTCATCAAAGCTCAGTTCAGAAGCCACTTATCGAGCCTAGCTCGAGTCGGCTGACGAGTTGTCTTGACTCACTTACAATCCTATAGGGGGATGAGAGAGAGATTCTAGTCATACGGAGAACCTACAGACGGAGCCAGAGAAGAATCAGTCATGGCTGAGGCACAATAGTTTTCACACCAAGTGCATGCTGAAGGACAAAGTTTATAGTTTGATTATCGATTTTGGGAGCTGTGAGATTGTAGTATTCACGTTGATGGTGAGAAAATTGGGATTGGCTACACAGAGGCGTCATCAATCTTTTATATATCTTGCTATGATTGAAAGCGTTTTGTGTGTTTCGTAATTACTAATGTTAATTTTGGATCCATCACATATGTTTTTGATGACTCCAACATACCTTTACCACATTCCTTTTTTTTATGATTTAATGAAATTGATATTGTATATGCCTTCATACATGACATTAGTTTTATCTTTTTTTTTTCCCTCTTATTATTAACATTTGCGTGTTTCATATTCTATATTCTTTATGTTTTGCTCCTAGCATCTGCAAGTACCAAGTTCTTGATCATTTCAGTAACATTCTTTCAGGCATATTTGCAGCAAGAATTAGAAAAACTGCAGGATTTGAGAAATAAAGCAAAGTTAGATGGGGAATTATGGGATGATCACATCTCCACTTCTAGTCAGAATGCCCATCTGGTTTCGAAAGCAACCCGCTTATGGGAGTCCTTATTATCTCGAAAGAGTAAGTTCTTTGCATTTTAAGTAGTTTTTGTTTCATGGTTCATATATCAGTTAGCATCGCATTGTTCTTATCTTATAAGCACCTTACTTATGAAGCATAGATGCATGCTGATATGGATGCATTTTTTTGCATATTTAAATGCAAATTAGTCTGCTGGAAAGGCAATTCTAACTTATGGATATTGGTAAATTTACTTTTGAAAACTCTGCATCAGTCATTTATGTCATCGGGTTCAGCTTATTAGTCATCCACTTTACTTTTTATGTGGGCATTTTATAGTTGAAAATGTTCCGTTCCTAGTCTAATGCAAAAGAATAACTTGAAAATGAGGAAGCAAAAGCGAAGTTTGAGTTCAGAAAAAAATAATTGTTTACATTCTTTTGCATCACCGTTGTGGACATACTCATATCAAACAGTGTTAGGTTTATGCCAATGTGCTTCACTACTTTTGCATTTTTTAGTGGAAAGAGAGAATGAGTGTGTTCCAAGTATTTTTACTAACAGTGTCACTGGGATAAAATTTTTACGATGTACTTTCGGTTTGCCTGGATTTTGATATTTATCAGCTGGTTTCACCACTTGCTTCAACCCTGCAGCACCATGCATGGCCACAGATGTGCTGCTTCCTTGCATTTTCTTATCCTGCACATATGCATCAAACTGATGGGCTGCAACTTACTGAATTGCTTTATTTTCTATTATCCTTTTAGTGTTAAAAGCTGTTATTTGAAACTTCATTTTATGTTTAGGAATACATTATTTTGATCTCTAAGGTCATGAGATTGATTTGTATTCTCATCTCTCTATTCGGTGGTTATTTTGCTCGAAGAATAGAATTGTTGGAAAATTATAGCTTAAGTTTCCATCTTTGTAAATTATGTGCTTATCATATGAAAGTAAGTTTAGTTTGATTTCAAATCTCTCATCTTTATAGATGCTTATTTAGGGTTTGTTTGGGGCAGCTGCAGCTTAATGGGAGTTTGCCCAGCACCTGCCATAGGAAGCTGCTGCGGATAATCTGACAGTTTATTTGTTTTTTACAATTTGAAAACAGTTGTGCTGCATCTGTTTCCGAACAAATGACAATTTTACCCCTGTACAGTAATATTGTTTGTAACAAAACTGTTTATACTAGTATATTCCATACTTCAGAGCAAATATGCAGTGCAAAACATTACGAAATAAAAATAAGAAATCTCACTAAACAGTGAGTAGCATTATTACAAAATTTTAAAAAAAGACTACTAAATAATAATAAATAAAATGATAATATTATTTTTAAAATGCAGACGGTGTATGCCACAAGATAAGCCACAAAAAAAGACTACTACTCGCCACGCCCGATCACTCTTGAAGGTGGAATCTTTCAGTCCATCTGCCCACTTATAAAACCATCTCCCGTAGATATGTTACTGATGTGAAGTGAGTAGTGAACACTGAGGTCTGCAGTAATAGTGAAATCCTCTGGAAGTACCTGAAATCCTTAAGCTCATCCTTCTTGAAGCCTTAAAAACATAAACTATTAAACATAACACTAGTAAAAATTTAATAACAGAAGTAATTATTTAAAGTATTATGCAACTGTGAGGTCTTAGAGAACTCGGCGTGTAAAACAACAAACTTTCGCTACAAAAAGGTAACAGACCTCATAAAAAATTGGTTCTTAGTTGCTTTTAGCCCACGTAATACTAAGTTTGTCTGCGTCGCATATGCATATCACCAAAAAATACCAAGAAGAACCTCAAAAACCATAGCACCGAAAAGAGAGAGGAACGTTGTCTTCATTAGGATTTCATATTTGACATCAATCAATAGTGACATACAGACTATCCAAAAGTACCAATTATGTCAAACGTCTCATCATAGACTTTCAAAAACTACAAAAAGATAAAAAAGAAGAAAAATACAAAAAAGGAAGATAAACATATACAATTTGCATAAAAAACAATCGCGGCAAATATCAAATGTATAATGAACAAAATTATACACGAACTGTATAAAGTACCTGTACAATAAACAGTGAATGTCTTCAGCAAACATGACAATTATCATAAATAAAAAAGTAACATTTCCTCCAATCACACCCACTTATTGTATCTGTAATTCGTTACCTCAACTCTGTAATCTTGCTTGCACATTCCCCATCTTGAGTGTAAGTCTCGGGAATATCATTTTCGGCATGTGAAAAAGACTATTCAAGCTGATACTCATGTCTCAACAGGGACATGTGCATGATCGTCATCCGCCCTATGAAAGTCGATATTGTTGCTGGAAGGATGTTGTCGATTATAATTATGGAGTTATCGTGACAATCACCATCTGCAGCTGTTTGGAAAACGTGTAAGTTGACATATCGCGAAGTGTAACTCATTTCTTCTTTCAAACACCTAAAGTCCCTTTAATGACACCGCATAAGGAGAGATGTCTTTTGTTCTTTTGTTGAACATTTTCTTCCCGCCACGTGTGACATTGCTGACTTGCTTAAAATCAGGTATGTAGTATCTTGTATTAGGATAGAGTTTTAAATACTCTCGTTGCATCCAGATACCCAGCATCAACCGAATAATATTTACCTTGTGTGAATAGAATGAATAATGTTGAACTAAAAAAGGGGGACCAACTCAGTCTCAAGTGAACCTGTGGGTGGATATGAGAAGTTATATTTCTTATTCCATGTTATAGATTTGAATATTCGGCCGACCATAATAAGTGAATCACATGTTGAAGTCGCATCCCACCATGACATTCTGCGTCGATGACCCACAATGCCCGATGAATGCGCTCTTCTCGTTGTGTGGAACACGTGCATCAACGTGTGTTCCATCGATTGCTCTAATACAATTCTAGAAAGATAACAAAGGATTCCTTAATTATTATATTCTTATAAAAATTAAATGTACTAAATATGAGAAATCACATGAAAGTATGAAATATATCATGCATCGTGCGAAATCTATGGGGGGTCTGTTCAAATATAGGATATGTTAGTTTTATGACTTGTGATGAAAAATTTACAAGTGCATTCAACCCTATTGAGAAGTATCTGTAAATTATCTCGGAAGAGTGCTGAAATCATTCCATAATTACTTGCATTTATTCATTCTACGATAATATGTAGAGAGTTATTGTTAACATTTCTCATAAACTCGTTCTGTTGGAGCCATGAAACCCATGATTTCTTTAGAATTCTTCCAATAGATTCGTGAATACCTCCTATGTCATGCGAAACATATTGCGAAACCTCATTGGGTGGCCCACAAACAGCTCCTCAACCCCCAACTCATTTGTCACCTACATAGGGGGATGTTATGCAAGGGGAGTGTTCTATGTATGAGTTATAATATTCTTCCATCAAACACACCGCAACTACGACTCTCCTTCTACTCCTTTATTAGCATCCATGTATTTCATTGTCGAAGTAGTTAACACATAAGCATCAACCAATTAGCTACAATCATGTAACATTATGAACAAAACTAATATCAAAATAACATTACTGAAGTAAACCGAAAACATAATGAAGAATGAAAAACTCTCAGATAAAGTTACATTTCCAAAGTGGCATAAATTTCCAAAGTAGCACGAAAAATCAAAGCATCATGTGCAAAATGTCCAAATCAGTAAGTAGCTAGTGAAAAAAAGTGTTCCTCAAGCATCACTGTTCCTATGAAAACAACATTGGTAATCCACCTTAAGGTTAGCGACCATCGTCATGAAAAACTCTTGCCAGGTCGGCTCTTCAATTAACTTCATAGAGAAAAATGCAACATGTTCTCGTAAATTTCTGGAGTTGACTCTAGAATTCGCATAACCTGCGGACAAATGTTACTTGTGGTGGGCCAGGGTCGTTGGTGCATGAAGCCATCAACTATGATATCTGATTTCTAATGAATGCAATTCCCTCTTTTTTCTTTTTCTCAACCCTAAGCCGCTTTGATCGGCTAGTGGATTCGACCTCATTACGGTTTGGGCTGAGGTCTCTGTTAGAATCACCTGTTTGGTCAGCTGCCAAATTTACAGGGTATCATCAAACCCTGCCTCATTAGGGGCACATGCATTGTTACTCGTGGCCACGACACCACCAAACATACGATCTAACTTGTCTTCCAGCTCAGTATTGATGCTACTGCATTTAAATTTTTTAGCAGCTCATACCGCCTACAAATTCAATTGACATGTTGATGTACTTGAAAAAAAAAAATAAAAATGGAACAAAAGCAGTGGACATTTGTAAAATGCTCACCGTCAGTCTCTCAGCCCACCAGTCCTTGGAAGCATCAATCGTTCGCTTTATCGAATCCCAACCCAAACTCGTGATTCTTCGCTTCAATCTCCTTTAGATTTTTCAATTCTTTTTCAGCTGATCCCATTTGTTTTTCAACTGCATCCAATCATACTCTCTACCTGTAGTTTTCTTAAATTTTTTTTTGATATTTTGCCATTTCTCCTTGTTGAAATATGTTGTTGGTCTATTTTTCTTCTCAACTTCTTTGAAGCATAGGTCACAAAATATCATTTTGGTATTCTTATTCCAGATTGCAGATGAACCAGCCTCTTTGGTTTTAACCATTATATATACTATCATGCAAAAAACTAATCAACATGAACATTTTCTATAAAAATTATTTAACACAACTCATGGAGAAAAAATAATGCCACAATAGCATCACCATTGCCGCTCCACACCACACCACACCACTACAACACCCACACAACAATACTAAAAACACCTTCACACACACAACAATACTAAAAACACCTTCACACACACAACACATCTACAACACCAACAACTCCATTCACCAACACATACACAACCACACATCAATCAACTCCAAACACACCCACCATCACCAACACATCCACAACTATACCGAAAATACCCACCACCATCTCACTCACACACAAACGCATCCACAACCACACGAATACCCAATCACCACCTCCAAACACATTCACCTCACTCACACAAACATCTCCAAACATCACCACCTCCACCTTCACCTCCACATCCACGCACTAACCACCCTTCACCACCACATCCACGTCCTTCAACACAAACACATCCACCCTCCACATCCACCACATACACATTATATGCCAACACCAACCAAATGTGCATAATCCACCATCAACCGAAAGACACCACTTTGCATGTGATTACAAGACATTGAATGTGCATTCAAAACCAACACTGGTGTCACCAATCAAGAACGTAAAAGAGCAAGCATAAAATTGAAATCAAACATCAACTGAAAACCAACACCTATAATTCATTGCAGGTGGGATTCCCAAAAATCGCAAAATCTAACATCAACCGAATGTCAATTAACCATAAGAAATTGCCAAATCAAAAACCGCAAAATTCTCGAGCACAGTGGGCACCAACAGGAAGGGGAACCACCTAGGGCTGTAAACGAGCCCAGCTTGAGCGAGTTCAGGCTTTGCTTGTGTTCAAAATTGGCTCGTGAACAGTGTGTTCGTGTTCGACTCGATTTAAATATTTTTGTCCGTGCTCGGCTCATGTTTAGCTCGAAATTGACTAGTTAAATTCATTTGAAAAAAACAAATGTAGGGTACTGAATTCGAACCTATATTAACCACATTATCACACTAGGTGTTACGATTTAAACTTAGATATAAATATATATAATATCTTATTATATAAATAATATATGTAATATATTATTATATAAATAATTATATAAATATATATAATATCTTATTATATAAATAATATATGTAATATATTATTATATAAATAATTATATAATTTTTTTATTTCAAGCTAAAATGAGCCGAATACGAGCGAACAAAAAGATATTCGTGTTTGGCTTGTTTATAATTCGAGTTTTAAAGACTTGTTTGTGTTCGGCTTGTTTACTTTACGAACGAGCCGTCATGAACGAGCCGAACATGAGCATTTCACGAACAACGAGCTATTTTGACAGCCCTAGAACCACCGCACAGAGGAAACCACCAAATTGTGGGCATAAAACCTTTTGCAAAATAAAAAGCCATAGAAAAGTTATGGTACATATTATCCAACACGAAGAAGTACTGCACTGAGGAACCACTGCAAAGAGGAAACTAAAAAACCTTGGCCATATAAGCATTTCCAAAATTAAAAACAATAGCATAGTTAAGGTAATGATTACCCGACAAGAAGAGGCACGGCAACACAGAGGAACCAGCAGAGGAACCACCACACTTAGAAACCATAGCACAAATGAATTACCACATCAAAACCACACCATAGAGGAACCACCGCACAAAGAGGAAACCGCCGTACTCTCAAAGAGCTACAAAGTAGATAAAGATGATGGAGAAGAGAACTCACTGAGAGAGGCAACCCTATATAGGAGAATTGAGAGAGAAATAGGGAGAGGAGAGTTTAGGGCAAGTATCGCGAGAGAGAGGATCACGGGAGAGGAGCGTTCCGCTAGGGCTAGTCACGCGAAAGAACGAATCATAGTGAGGAGAGGGGCAGCCCCGTTAAATATACGAGGGAGCTTGGGCCATGGGGTTGAGCCCGCGGCCGTATTTACTTTGGATTTTTGTAAAAAGCCACACGCCAAAGTATCCAAACGCCCCCCGATTGGCGTTTTCAAGCCGCGCCGAAGCCCTACCGCTGCCCCAAACGGGGCCTTAGTCAATAGATACATAGGTATAAGTATCTACACCATCTGATGATATCAATTTTAAATTCGTTCTGAAATATTCCTGATTCACTTTTTTTACATTTACTTCAGATAGTATTAACTCGTAAAGTAGTAATTCCCCCAAAGAAGGTTATTCATTTTAATTTTCTTATATTTTGTTTGCAGGTCAACACGAGGTGCTTGCTTCAGGTCCTATTGAGGATCTAATAGCACATCGTGAGCATAGGTAGGCTTTAGTATTTTCTGGAAGTAACTTGTGTGCTTTCACCGTTTCATTTCAATGGCATTTTTATTTTTAGGTATCGCATCTCGGGGTCATCTTTACTTGCAGCCATGGAATCAGGTTCTTATGTTTCGTATCCAGATTTGCTCTCTGCTCATGCTAGTGAACTGTCTTCATCCACTGATGCTTGTGAAAAAGTCGGTTATTCTCAAATTCCCGCAAAGACTGATATCTTATCTAAGACTGATGATAGGGGTGTAAGAGTTCATCAAATCGTTGATGTGGCTGAGGTTATTAGACGTTGGACGCATGCATTACAGCGTATCCATAAGCAGTCACTTCATCTGGTATGCTTCGTTTTTTTAATCCTAAGTTTCAATGTCAATATTGATATGCTGATTAATTATTTCTTTCTGGTACATATGGTGATGGCTGGCTCTGTTGAAGTTGCATTTAGGATAACCACTATTTATTTGTTTTGTTTTGGAATTATTTTTAAAGAAGATACAATTTGTGTGGAACATTCTTTCTGGAAATGTTGACTTGTTTTCTTAAAAAAAGTTATGATCTGGTATATTATTAGTATCTTTTGCAGTATTCTATTGTTTTCTGTTCACCTTATAAGGAAACATAGACTTCACTATTAAGAACTTACAACATGGAGTTAGAATTCAGCTGTGGAAGCGAGTAGGGCTGGTGAGTTCCTTTTGCATGGATTATTGGATGCAAAATATTTATTGATATCTTATTATGCTGTTATTGTGTTTGCTGCTGAGATGGGTCTCCTCTTGATGTTTAAGGTCACGGCACCTTAGAATCTTTTTCATGAGGCTTTCTTAGTTCCCTTCATATGATAATCAATAAAGAATTTTTTTTTTTTCCTTTAGGAATTGCAACTTAATTTGGCTTTACTGAAGGAGCCATTTTGAAGGTTGTACAATTTGTTCTACGTAAATTGTGGTGCAAAAACATACTATGTTCTTGTGTTTGCTGCTGAGATGGGTCTCCTCTTGATGTTTAAGGTCACGGCACCTTAGAATCTTTTTCCATGTAGACTTTCTTAGTTCCCTTCATATGATAATCAATAAAGAATTTGTTTTTTTTTCCTTTAGGAATTGCAACTTAATTTGGCTTTACTGAAGGAGCCATTTTGAAGGTTGTAAAATTTGTTCTACGTAAACAAGCTCCATTTACTCATTATTTTTATGATTAAATGGTATAAAAAATTTTTGGGTGGAGTGATAGTATCCAAGAAGTTCTAGTTAGGCCCTACTTATTCCCTCAACCTCAAACCTATTTTGACTAGGGTAATTATATACTAACCAAGAAGATTATTAGTATTAGGAAATATCCTGGGAAGTAATTATATTTAGTGAGTGGTTTACGGTTATGTAGGGTCTGTTTGGCGCAGCTGCAGATTCTCAGCTTTTCAGCTACAGCTGCGCTGCCCCAGGAAGCAGCTGTGGGGAAGCAGCTGCGGGGAAGCTGACTGTCTGTTTGGTGCAACTGCGGGAAAAATGTTTTAGGCCAGCTATTTCATGTAAAAATGACCAGACTACCCCTGTTTGTTAAAACTATTTTTAGCTTTTGATTTATTTGTATAAATATGAGTGTAATATACATAAAATTCAGAAAAATATTATTTCTTGATTAATTAAATGAAATATATCGGTTTTAATATTCTTTTTATAGAAAATTTTTAAAAAATATTTTGTAATTTTGAAAACATATAGGTTTAAAATTTATCTTTATCTATATATCAATGTATACATATAGAAATTCACCTATACATATAAAAATTTAGAAACATATATTTTAGAAGCATAAAATTAATTCTCTATTTTGAATTCTTCAAAAGTTGATATAACTTAGGGCATTTACATAAATACCACATAATTATTGTCTCAACATATTAGACACCAAAACTTACATATTTTCTTGGATGACACTTTTTTAACATCATATAGGCCATTGTAATCTAAACAGCTTCCAGCTAAATGCAAATAATATAAGACATTGTAATCCATAAAATGAACTTCCATAACCATTTATGAAAAGCTTTAATCCTTAATAAAGTTATTTATTACATCACCAGCGCACATAAATTAACTTCTACTAACAAACACTCATAATTTGACTCTTTTTTCTTTATAACAAATTACAAATCAATCATATATTAACCAACGCATTAGTAATTTGTTCTCGAATGACCGCCATTTCAATTGCACCTTCCCCTTCCTTAGTACAAATGGTTGATTGTTCACTCTCATCTCATAACATAAAACTACCAATTTGGTTTTCAGATGGGTCTTCAACTATTTCCTGTTGATTTGCTTCAGCATTGAGAAAATCAACGTCATATCGAGACGGGTGTCGCCTAATATAATTGTGTATTGTCATCGTCGTTATTACAATCTGAACCTATTTTGGAAATGGGTAAAGAGGCATATCACGTAATATCACCCACTTCTTCTTCCAAACACCAAATGTCCTCTCGATGACGCCTCACAAAGAGGAATGTCTTTTTTTGAACACCTCCTTTCTGTTTCGTGTAACATTACTTGCTCGTTCAAAATCAGATATATAGTATCAGGATATGGTTTGAGATACCCTCGCTGCAACGGATAACCAGCATCCACCAAATATGTCTTTCCTGTAAGGTGTTGAACCTCAGTTTCACATTTAAAAAAAATACAATAAATATGTAAATTTTTCGTGGCGCAACATACCTTGAGGAGGATGGGAAAAACTATAATGCGGATTCCGTGTTGTACTCTTGAAAATTCTGCTGTCATGTGCACTACCCTCCCAACCAGGCATGATAAATGTGAAACATATATTAAAGTCGCAAACAGCCATGACATTTTAGGTTGGTGTTCCACTTCGTCCGATAAATGCAACTTTCTCATCATTTGAAACACGTGCATCAACATGTGTTCCATCTATGGCAATCCTAAACATGGAGCGTTAGTAATTCATTAATCAATGTCATGTTTTCATGTTAAATTTCACTAATATAAGATTAAATCAGTACCTTAAAGAATGACATGTAGCGTCGATCGTGGCGAATCTCCGTAGGAGTTCGTGAGAACGTTGGATCCGTTGGCTTTATGACTTGTTTGGCGAGGCTCACCAAAGCACTCAAACCCACTGAGAACTACCTACTAATGGTCTCCGATGAGTGCTGGAAGCGTTCCATTGCACCACACATTGACTCGTTCTGTGATAATATATAAAAGGTAATCGCCAAGACCTCACGGTCAGTCATCCTCATAGACCCATGGAGGCCATGAGATCCAATGAGTTCTGCTAAAAGATCTGTAAAAACCTCCTGTGTCATGCGGAACATGTTGTGAAATCTTGTGGGATGTCCAACAAGCATTTCCTCCATTTGTCTGCAATTCCACAAGTTTTATATTTTTTCGCTGCGGGCACCACATGGAAAAAAAACTCAAATCTATTCTACAGCTTGAAAAAGAAAGATATTATGGAAATTTTCAAAAAAAATTAAAATTACTAACCGCGATCCTTTCTGCCCACCACTCTTCCGAGGCATCAATGGTTCGCTTTATCGGATACCAACCCAAACCAGTTGAACCACGTTTCAAATCCTTCCAAAATTTTCAATTTTTTTTCATTTTATTCCATTTTTTTTTATTTGTAGTCTGTCGCACTCCCGTCCCGTGGAGTCTTTAAAATGTTTAATGATATTCTGCCAACCTTCTTTATTGAAAAATGTTGTTGGTCTATTGCCCAATTGTATTTCTTTTATACAAAGGTCGCAAAACAACATTTTGGTTTCTTTTTCCCATAGTGCTGGTGACCATGCTCTTTAGCAGCCATGTTAAAATTACGATATAGCAAAGAAAAGAAACATAACAATGACATAATTTAGAAGTTATAACATTAGAATCATTCATTGGTGTTGCATCATATTCAATAAAAACAAAAAATTTAAGGGAGCATAAAAATGAAAAAAAATACACGGAGTTTAACGTGGTTCGGTCAAAATGACCTACATCCACGGCAAAGGAGGCCAACAACTTTATTATAGCACCAAAGAGGAAGATACAAAGCTTTGATTCATACATTACTCCCTACCCTAAGCATAAAAAAAAACTAGCAGCATATATAGAAAACCAACGGGCTGCCATGAGGGATCCCATCCCAGGAATCTGTCATAATAGAAGCAAAATACATTACTCCCACAATGATCCATACATTAATCTCTCCCTGATGCAAAATACATTACTCCCTCCCACCCAGCCCTTTGAAGCCTGCAAAGAGTTATCGGGCATAATAGAAAACCGATAGCATATCCACACAACCCTTCTCCATTGCTTACAGGACCATGCCATGGTACCAAGTGCTGCAATGATGGCATACATTCTAAGGCCACACCAGCTCTTCATAATATAACATAAAAATACAAATCTGCTATGGAAACTCCTATAGGTCCAAATGTAGTCATAAGACAAAAATTCTGCCTACAGAACTAAAAATTCTACCTGCAGAACTAAAAACATTCTTCAATCAAAGCATCAAATGAGATCCTGAGATCACATAAATAAAAGATAGTTTAAAATTATGTACACAAATGTAATGCAATTTTTTTTTTTCAATGAACTAGTTTTGTTAATATTTATTTATATTATTTAGTTGTAAGAAAAGTTACATACAACACAAAATTTATTCTATTTACTCAGTATAAATTATATAGATGCTAGGTTATAACCTATCCAATTGTAAATTTATTTAGATTTAAAATATCATTTATTTAAAATTCTACATAAATAATTAAATATTTATTAAAAACTTTAACGAGTTTATTAGTTTAATATGAAAAATTAAGTACAAATCAAAATTTTAATTTTATGTGAAATTAAATACTAAGAGTTTGTTTGGTTTACTGTAAATTGATGCAGTATATAATAAATGTAATGCAGGAGTAATGTATTGTATGTGAAATACTTTAAAACTATTTAGTTCACTGTAAAATAAATGAACAACTTTTATTTTTTTAAGTAACTTTAAAATAATTTATTTCAAAATGTGAGATAAATATATCTGTGATAGGGTTGGTGTAGCTCCTGTGACGGACAAAATTAGAGAAAGTCGTTTTAGATGGTTCGGTCACATTAAGCGTCGACCATCTGATGATCTGATTAGGAGAGTAGATGTTTTAGATTCGACTTATGTTAAGAAAGGCAAAAGTAGGCCTAGGAAGACTAAGGCTTATTGTATAAAAAATGATCTTAATTTATTAGAACTAAATGAAAATATGACACTAAATAGGACGCATTGGAGAAAAAGGATTCATGTAGCCGACCCCGCGTAGTGGGATTAA